TTTCACAATTAAATTTCAGGAGTTAGGACACGAGTCCGCTGTATGGGCTGTTACTTTCATGCTAAACTTACTAGCCTTGCTTTCATGCTAGATCGATCAAGTGACCCTTGTTAATAAAATAAACTATTTTTTGGCTTCAGGGTTGCTTACTTGTTGTATCTGGTGAATTTGGGTGGGTTTCACTGAATTGGAGAGAAATAATGGCCCCATGTAGCCTCTCAGCCTCGTTTCCTGGATCAGGTAGGTCCTTTTTCAATACCCCATAATTACCGTCTAATCGCTTAACAAAATTGTCAAGAACGATTTTTAGATTCCTTGTGGTCTAGTGAACCATGTTAGGCCACTGGCTTGCTTTCTTCCAAAAATGCCAACGGAATAACTTTAGCACCCAGACTATGACTACTGTTATTGTTTCAAGTGGCTAATAAACAAGCTTTCTTGTTTACCACTGACTTGTGTTATTAAGGCTACTATTATAGTCTACTTTCAAAGATTTTAAATCAAACTTAGTAAAAGATTCCTGATTATTGTTACACGTTCTCATGGTAGCCTCTACAGAAGTGTTGCTGTTTGGAAACATAAAATTGGGCAACCAACTGGTGATACATGTAATGTAATGTCAACAACTAGCTATGCAGCTAGTACCTGTTTTATGGTATCACTATGTAGCTCCATTAACATGGCTGAGATGCACTAATACGTGCTTAAATCAACTGGAAGATATTCAGAAAAGGCATTTTGTATTACAGGTCTAATTGAATTGCTATATTTTCCAAGGATTTTGTCCTTCAGTAAAGATATCTTGATATTCAGTTCTACAATCCTCACCAAGAATTCTCACAGTTTAGTTCCACTCTCTAGTCCATTGTCTCCAGTTCTATACCCTATCTATTTAGTGTGGTGGAGTAGAATAGGGGATATAGTGGTTGTTAGGCTTTTGCCTTACCACAGGAAACACAAGCTAGAATTTTCTTTTGATTTTTTCATTCACTCCATCAATTGTCGTTGCTGGTTGATATCCCAGAGCCAGTTAGTGATCCTTTCCCTGACCTGATCTGCCTTGCGATCTTGCTCCACACTCCCCCTGTTCCTAATAAGGTGCAGTTTTTCAATGTCCAGCCTCCACCTGGGTCTGCATGGGTCGTCTCTTGCAATGCATATATTATGCAAGGCTATGCAGGCCATTATGACATGCCTTATGTTCTTTAGTTTACACTCTGTCTTCTTGTAGAGGATTCTCCACCTCCCTTTCAGCATACCATATGCATGCTCTGACACAACTCTAGCCAAGCAAAGCCTCTTGTTTAAGTAGCGCTTTCTTGGATTTCTTGTATTTTCATTGTACGGCTTTATTAGCCATGTGTAGCGTGGAAATGCTGAATCACCAACCGTTGTGATCGGTATGTCCCCGTACTCCCTTGTTCGTAGCACAGTATTTGGGAAAACATGTCCCTGCTGAATCTCGGCAAAGAGGTTGCAACAACAGCTGCCCAAATAAACCTCTTATTAGAGGAAATAAATCCCATGCTGGTTATTGAATATCTCTTCTTGAAGCTAAAATAATTTTTAGCTCATTCATGTGCTTGCACAATGAATGAGTATCGTGAGGGGCCAAGATGTGGACACTTTTTGTAGACACTTTTTGTAGACATTTTTTGTAGACACTTTTTGTAGACATTTTTTGTAGACACTTTTTGTAGACCCGTTTTGTAGACGGAAGTGAATCGGACCGGAAGTGACTTGTGATGTTCCTCACCACCCCTCCCCCGTTCGTCTTAATTAAAGTCCAAATAAACTTCGAACTCGCTCCAATCAGCAAGTGCAAAGAATAAAATAAATCACAATAAATGTTTGTATGGTCTAATAATAAATAAATCAACAATAAGTCGCAATTTTGCAACGTCTTACGAGAAGCCAAAATGTTTGCAACTAGGGGTTCCCTAAACAGTTTTTTGGCACACGCATTCGCTATCACGTGGAGGAGACGGTCCATCGAGGCAGCCATATTGGATAGTTGCTAAGGTTATAATTTTGCGTTGAATTGCATTGGAAAGTCGTGGTAAGTATGTAAATCATTGCTTTATTATTGTGCTTTTCCCTTGGAGCTCTTCAACCTACAACGCACACATCAATAATAGCGGCCAAGATAGTCACACTAAAACATTTGAGCACCTGTTTCAGCCCAGACTTGAGGCTCGCTCGTACAATAACTGCTGTACAATTTACTTTACAATTTGCTTTACAATCTGCAATACGAACCACGAAACAATCTCTCATTTAAAACTTGCTTGAGATGGCTACCAGTCACATTAGATCAATCACAGGAAATACTATCAAGTTTATCAAGATGAAGCTGTCCTTCTTCGCCAATAAGATTTGCTTGCTCTTTTCCAAACCAAACGTAAAAATAAAATACACAGATCTCGCTTTGATACTTATGTTAATTTGTATCAACATAAGCTAAGGCGAAAAAGAAGTAGAGCGGTGTCAAGAATTCCCACAACCCAAATAAAGCGTGTTCTTCAAAAGAGTAAAAAAGTTATGATTAAAGTGTAAAAAGATGTCTGAAAAGTTGTACCACATTCATCAAAGCTTCATGCATACTTAAGCAGGAAAAGCAGTACGTACCATAGGTTAAATAATGAATTCGTTCCAATTTCTGATCATAAGCATAAATCAGCTACAAAGCAGAGGTTGAACTTTAATAAAAAAGATTATCAATCTAAATATCATTGCTTTACAAAACAACAGAGTTTGTTTTTGCTTTTTGTACAAACAAGAACCCCAAAGCACAAAAAATCTGTTGCGTTTATTTCTACTGATGAACATGGTTTAAAGTGCTCTTGTGTACAAGTTCTATGGGTAGCTCATCGCAGAATAACAATAAGTGGTGATGTAAAGAAGAATCCTGGGCCTTCCACTCAAACAAATAATGACAAGAATGTACCTTGTACCAAATCAGTCAATTCAGTTTCATTATTGGAATTAAGATTAGCTGAACTTGGTAGAGTTCCCGTCAATGTATTGGGAGATGGGAACTGTTTCTTCCGTGCAGTCTCATACCAGCTATATAACACCCCTGAGTATCATTTCTATATATGCTTCCTTGGAATTCAGCATCTTCAGCATTACCCTGAGTTGTATATAGAAAGCAACTATGAACAGTCTTGGCAATACTATGTGCATACTATGGCAAGGCAAGGAACATGGGCAGATAATATTATAATTCAAGCCGTTGCAAATTCTCTGAATGTCACTATCAATATTATAGATTCAAATGCAAATTTTTCCCGTCACAGTTATAAATCTAGTCAATACATATGGGCAGACAACAAATATTTATATTGGCCATATACAAGAATATCACTATGTGTCTACAACACCAGCATTGAGCTCCCCTGAAATAACACGTGATAGTGGGCTAATTCAAAAATCAGTCAGTTCGCATGAAGACAAAGTAGAACAATATAAAGTCATTTCTCACAAAAAAAGCAATCACAATTTGCCAACGCAGAAAAAGATAATAGAAAGGGAGCAAACATATCAGAAGCAGGTATAGACAGTGACACTGATATGGAACCAAAAAAGAAAATTGAAAATCATAAAACCACTAAGAGAGAATTCATGCAAAAGAAACATGCACAAGCTGTTAACCCTAAGAGACTAAAATTATCAGAAGTAGACAAAGCAGAAAAGCGTAAAGCTTCTAAAAGAAAATATATACGAAAGAAACGTGCACAAGCTGTTAACCCTAAATGACTAAAATTATCAGAAGTAGACAAAGCAGAAAAGCGTAGAGCTTTTAAAAGAGAATGTATACAAAAGAAACGTGCACAAACTGTTAACCCTAAGAGACTAAAATTATCAGAAGTAGACAGCAGAAAAGCGTAAAGCTTCTAAAAGAGAACATATGCGAAAGAAACGAGGCAGTCAGCTGTCTATTAATGGAAATGTAGTAAATGTACCAAGTGATGTTAATTCAACTGTGCACACCCTGCCTAGACTTGTCAGTGAGTCACAGACTATCCCAATAAAACTCAAGCGGAAACTAACCTATAAGCATCATTATCAATTTCAGAATGTGAGACCAAAAAAAGTATTAGAGGCAGCTAAATATCTTGTTAGTACTAGTGAGTTGTTTAAAAGTGAAGGTATAGAGGTTCACAATGCATGGCAAAACACTGTCACCACAGAGGCTGAAGAAAATGATGAATGGGACCAGTGTCTCATAATATTAAAAAAGATTCTGACAAAAACACTCAAACTATTGAAAATAATAATGACAAGGAAAATGCAAGTTCTATAAATTCTGAAACTATTGACAATGATGATGATAATTGGTGTGAAGTTGATGAACGTCCTTCAGGAGCGACAGACACTTTATTAAAAGAACCAGAAATAGCAGAGAATGGTGATAACATTATAAGTTTTGCACCAGGAGACGGAAAAAAACCTTTCGGCATATTTATGGATAAAGATTCAGAATTTTTATCACTTCCCACAATATTCTGTGGAAAACGTAGGGCATATAACAAAAAAAGGAAGGTTCCTGTTTCATATAGCACAATAGCTAAGTGGGAATTGAGATGTCAAGACAGAAGAGCAGCACAATCAGTACCTAATTTGTTTTATAAGCTTAAGAAGCTACAAATCAAGCAAATTCAGGACACTGCTAGCATTTCTCTTCGAAAATGTAAAACAAAAGGCAAGAAGTACACTGCTGGTGACTTAAATTCAGAAGATTATGTTAATAAGCTGATACATCTTGATGAAGGTTTTAGAGTACTAAAAAATCTAAGAGGAAGCCCAGCATATTTTCAAAAATGCAAAAAGGATTTGTTTGCTATGATCCGTCAGCTTGGCAACCCTACATGGTTCTGTTCTTTCTCAGCTGCAGAAACAAGATGGACAAATTTTCTTCACGCGAAAGATCGTGAAAGGCCAAAGCTGAACCTCTTCGTCGCGAAGTTGAATTGAAAAACCTTTTGAAGCGCCAAGAAATGGAACATCAAATGGAGCGGCAGTTAGCCAAAATGAAATTGCAAGAAGAAGAACTGAAACGTCGGATTGCCATTTTAGTCGCAGAAGGAGAAATTGAAAAGGCTAAAGTCATTGATGATCTCTTCGAGGCATCTGAAAGTTCTAAGCATAGTATCAAGTCAGAGTTAAAGCTGGTGAACACAGAGGAAGCATCTCACTCTTATCCTACTACGAGACATGCTGAATTGTACACCAAATGCGACCCCAAAAATGTTGGCACAAATTATCCGAAACCAGCGCTGGATTTGAAAACTCAATCCTGGGACCCAGGTCCCTCTCACAGCCTCAGCAGTGGTGAAAACCTGGCGGTTTTGCAACAGTTACAGCAAATGATGAAGCAGCAACAAGAGGCTCTGCAAGTGATGGCTGTCTCGATTCAACAAGGATTTGAAATGCCCAAAAGAGAGCTGTTAACCTTTGATGGTAATCCTCTAAACTACTGGTTGTTCGTGAACAACTTCGAGGTCAATATCGCCAAGAGAGTACCTGACGCTGAGTCGAGGCTTGTGTACCTTATAAAACATTGTTCTGGAAAGGCTAGAGAGGCCATTATGAACTGTGCCATAATTTCCGATCCAAACGCAGGATACAGGAAAGCCCAGGGGATCTTGTATCATTGATTTGGACAGAAACACATTGTTGCGCAAGAACATTCGTAACGAGTCATCGCGATTCTATTTAACCCTCCGGAGGCTAGAAATCAAGGTGGCGTCTGGGAATGTATAATTCGTTCTGTGCATAAGATTCTCGGCGCTTTGTTAAGGTGGTAGTTAACCCTTATTTTGAGAAAAAAGTCAACAATTTCTTAAATTCTCCACTGGGGCTTCCTAAAACCCCTATTTATTCAACTTTTATAACCCGCTTTCATTTTTTGAAAAATTTGAAAATCCCGCTTGAAACGGCTAATTAATCAGAAAGTGGCCTAATAATTGTCCATAGCAACTGTCTGTTTACACTTTGTTTATTATGGTTGCCATGGGTTTTTTTGACCCTGCGCTGGGTCAAAAGTCTCCGAAATCCGTTTCCACAGTCCTCACAAGCCGAATTCCATAGACTCCAGTGCTGATTTTCATTAGCGTAACCATGATGCAGCGGGAGCCAGTAAATTCTCGTTTCTTCGATTTTTTCGAAAGCTTAGAGGAAGGTGAAGTCGGATTATTCTTTCAAACATTTTTGCTTGTTGTACTTTGTGAGATGGCGAAGCATGGTGAAAGAAAATTCAGATCCGTTAGGAGAAAAAAAGGAAGGGTTTTTGCGGCACTACTGGGTCAAAGAAACGTCCAAAACTGACTAAAGAACCAGATCAAGATGGCCTTGCAGGAAGTAAACTCGAAGTTAGTGACAACAGCGACGCCAGTGAAAGTGAAGAATTGCCCATGGAAGTCAATGTTTCCGCCTCAAAGCTTCAGAATTCTTCGTTTTCGATGTATGAAGAGCAGGAAGGCATTCTAACCCGTAAGAAGTCGATAAATGTTGGGCTCGGAGTTCCATCAGTAAATTGTGACAACATTGCAAGTGGTTATAAAATTCAAGATGCCACTTTACTTAGAGATTGTATCGCCTCAGCAGCAATTTGCAGTTTCTGCCGCAAATCTCAATCAACTTTGCAACTTTTTCAGCGAGATTATCAGAGAGAAGGACTTGCTGAATGTCTTTTTCTTAGATGTTCAAATTGTCATCATGAGACTGAGTTGAAAACAAGTAAGAGACTGGGAGGTGTTGGTGGAGGGGCTCATGAAGTCAACAGGAGGTCGGTATTGGCTTCTCAGAAACTTGGCCAGGCTGGGTTGGCTGACTTTTGTGCTAGAATGAATTTCTGTCCACCAGTGACCAAGAAATCTTACAATGATCATTTGATCCAAATTGAAAAGGCAGCTGTAGAACATGCTAGAACTCAAATGCAGGATGCTGCTGGGAGGCTGTCGGATCTGACAAAAAATAAACATCCTAACAGCATTGAAGATGAAAATGGAACCGAAGTGGCTAAAGTAGCTGTTACAGTTGATGGCACATGGCAGAAAAGGGGCCATTCCTCAAAGATTGGTGTGGTGTTTGTCATTTCAGTGGCAACTGGAGAAATTCTGGATTATGAGGTCAAATCTCTTGTTTGCTATGAGTGTCGAGCTCGTGAGCATATGGACAGAGATTCTGAGGAATACAAAGCTTGGAAAGCCAGCCATACAAATTGCCACATTAACCATTCTACCAGCTCTGAGGACATGGAGGCTTCTGCAGCAGTAGAAATGTTTGGCAGAAGTGTAGAGAAGTTGCATCTCAAGTATACAACTTTTGTCGGAGATGGTGACAGTAGTTCTTTTGGTCGAGTGCGAGAAGCCATGACTGCAAAATTTGGAGACAAATATCCTGTAGTCAAAGAGGAGTGTGTGGGCCATGTGCAGAAGAGAATGGGTACAGCTCTCCGAAAGTTTAAAAAGGAAATGAAGGGAAGAAAGCTGGCAGATGGAAAAGGTGTCGCTGGAAAGGGAAGGCTCACTGACAAAGTTATCAACCGCATTCAAAACTATTATGGTAATGCTATAAGAGAGAATTGTGGCAACCTTCAAGGGATGAAAGAAAGCATTAAAGCAATTCAGTGTCATATGATAGTGGATGAGGACATGTCACTCAAAAAGCAGCACAGACACTGTCCAAAGGGTAAAGACACATGGTGTAAGTTCTGGGCTGACATGCATAATAAGACAAACACCTACGACAACAGCAAGCGTCTTCCTGCAGTTTTCATGAAAGAGCTGGACCCAATTTTTAAAAGATTGTCAGATAATGCTCTTTTATCAAGATGTCTTCAAGGTTTCACTCAAAACCAGAATGAAAGTGTCAATTCTCAATTGTGGTCCAGATGTTCCAAAACTACCTTTGTTGGAGTTCGTAAAGTTCAAATTGCTGTTTGTGAAACTGTGGCTGTGTTTAACACTGGGGCAGCCAGCAAAGCAGTCATTATGGATCTCAGTGGGGTTAATCCTGGTCAAAGTATGTTGAAGGCCCTGAGAGATCAAGACAAAAGAAGGATCGTAACTGCTGGACGAAAAGTTTCTGTGAAGTACAGAACACAAAGGAAGATTTTACGGGCAAAGCAAAAGTCAAAAGGGGAAGTGTCATACTCTTCAGGGGCTTTTGGTCTTGATTCAAAGCCTGAGATATCAGTTAAACAAGGAATCAAGAATATTAAGTCCAAGAAACACATTCAGGAGTTACCATCCACTAGTAGAGAGCAAACTGTGGAGATAAAATATGTGGAACCCATTTTTGAAGTTGTGGTCACTCCAAAAGAGTAGGGTTCATGAAGAGGACTGAACTTTTCCACATTTAACCATCTAATCTAGCTGGAGAAAGGCCTTCAAATTAATATTTACTTCCTAGTGCAACACAATTTCAAGAAAATAACTTTCTTGACAGAATGGGGGGATGTTATGGTGAATTTTACTCACAGCACATGTCTTGGACTTTAGAAGCAGTTTTCTTAAAGTTATATGTTTAAGAATTGTCTATCTTGTGGCAGTCATATTTTTGCCAGTTTTCAATGGATTTGCATGATTTTTTCACAGGTTGTGTAGTTTTGGCTGTACTGTGCAATGAGTGAACTAGTTTTAGTCTTTTGTGAAGTTTTATTTTGTTGCTATGGAAACGTGCTTCTTTATGTCAGAGCGACATTGATTTGACGATACTAAAAAACTGTTTCACTCATTGCACAATTTGTAACAGTGTTAATGTCTCTAGAAAGTTTCATTGCTTTATGGTATATGTTTGCTGAGATAACTTTGCCATAATCTCAGAAGTTGACTTAAGTTTTCTGGAGTTACCATGGCAACCAATGGGCGTGGTCTCACACTTACCATGTCAATCTTTCAAACTTACTTAAGTCTATATTCTGTTCAAATTTCATGGAGTTTGGTCAAATCCTAGGGAAACAGGCCACTTTTTCATTTAGTTACAAAATAAGG